CAGAATGTCATTGCTGGCAAGGCAGCGCTCTGTTTCACCAGAACGGGGTGCTGCGGTTTTCTCTGAGGTCCAGTCCTGAGTGTTCTGGCTTCCCACGGTCTTTGTTAACCCAACAATCTGAATGCACTCACTCTCTCTCTCTCTCTCTCTCTCTCTCCCCTCAGGCTCTTAGCCACCATGCTGAAGTCAAACAAGACAATAGTGAAAGTGGTCCTGGCAGTTCAGTCCGTTGTTTTCATCTGCTTCCTCTCTCATCTTCACAGCAGCTATTCCCCCCAGGAAGAGAAGCCAGCTCAGGTGCACATCCTCATTCTCTCCTCCTGGCGGTCAGGATCTTCCTTCACTGGCCAGCTCTTCAGCCAGCACCCTGATGTCTTCTACCTTATGGAGCCTGCCTGGCATGTGTGGAGAGCCATGTACCAGAATAGGGCCAAACCCTTACAGATGGCAGCACGTGACCTCATCAGGTCTGTCTTTCTGTGTGACATGTCTGTGTTTGATGCCTACATGTCTACGCAGAGGAATAAATCTGATTTATTTCAGTGGGAGGCCAGCCGGGCCCTGTGCTCCCCCCCCTGCATGTGACCACTTCCAGCGCAACCACATCATTTCCAAAACCGCCTGCAAGACCCTCTGCAGCAGGTACCCATTCAGCAAGGTGGAGGAGGCTTGCAAGACCTATAGCCACATTATCCTCAAGGAGGTCCGGTTCTTTGATCTGACAGTTCTCTATCCCCTTCTCACCGACCCCTCCCTGAATCTCAAAATCATTCACTTGGTTCGCGACCCCAGGGCTGTGTTCCACTCTCGTGAGAAAACAGTGGCTGCTCTGATGCACGATAGTAACATTGTGGTGGGGCCCCAGAAGAACCAAGGGGAGAGGGGGCCCTACAACGTGATGCAGGAAATCTGTAAAAGTCACATCCGGATTTACACTGAAGGCAGCCAGGCCCTTCCTAGCTTCCTCAAAGGCCGCTACATGCTGGTGCGCTATGAAGATATTGTCAACGATCCCCTGGCAAAGGCTGCACAGATGTATAAGTTTGCAGAGCTCCATCTCATACCCAAACTTCAGGTGTGGGTGTATAATATCACTCATGGGAAAGGCCTGGGGATGCAGGCCTTTGACATCGGCTCCAGAGATGCAGTGAATGTGTCCCAGGCCTGGAGGAAGAACCTGCCCTTCCAGAAAATAGCAAAGTTGCAAAATGTGTGCAAGGATGCCATGGACCTATTGGGTTATCGACTAGTGATGTCCGAGGAAGAACAGAAAGATATGGCACTGAACCTGTTATTTACCCAGGGCCTTCCACCCGGTGACCCAGGGAGCTGAATGCCGAAAATTTGCCTCCTGTTTGTCAGCTGAAGGCTGCAGAATTCAGAACTGTATGCACAAGTGAAAATGTGTGTGTGTGTGTGTGTGCATGCGCATATGTGTACAGAGTGATAATAGCAGTTGAGAGGGAACAGAACATCCAAGTAACAGTACCCAAAAGAGTCAGAAATCTCCCAGAAGGCCAATTTAATTAAACACCAATAAAACCACAATTAGCAGGTGTATTCCTGGAGACCAAGAGGCACAGTGAGTGTCAGACACTCAGGCCCCTACCTGTACAAATTCCATGTAAATCCCAGAACTTATGCATTTTTACCTAAGGATTTAGTGGATTTTCCAGCACTTGAAGTTTTTAAATCAAGCTTAGTGTCTTTTTAGAAGAGATGCTCTAGCTCAATCATAAATTATGGGTTTGTTGCAGGAATCACTTGATGAAATTTTCTGTCCTGTATTATGCAGGAGGGCAGCCTGGATGGCTACAATGCTCCCTTCTGGCCTTAAACATCTAGGAATCTATGCAAATATTAAGAGTCCCAGAACAGGTTTAAAACTCAGGTAACCCAAGTATCCTTGATCCACTCAGTTAGTTTTCATATCACTGTCAAACTACATGTAATCAGGGGATGGTCCTGCTATCGTGGTGAATTTGCCTGGCTTCTATACTGCCCCAGGGAGAATTGGAGGTGACAGGTTCTAAGTCGCCACCTCAACAATATTTACCAGATGCCTGCTTAAGCTCGAGAACGCCTCTGCCTTGCTCCCATCTGACAGAGACCTCGTAACCCCGATAAGGCTGGGGCCAGGATCACTGGGGGATTAACCCCCAGTCTCATTATGGGTTGCTCAGGACTGGGGCTAGGGTCTCTCCTCTGTGGGATACTCTCTCCTCCCCAGCCACTTCCCTGATCCAGTGATCATTGCATTGAGTTTAAACCACGTACAATTTATTAACCAGCAACTGTAAACCAATCAGGGAAAAATGGAGATGGTGAAAGGATCCAGAAACCAACACAATGGGCACTGGGACACCATAAACTACAGTTTCTCTGGGGCTAGTCACAGCCTATTCCTACACATCCCAAGTCCTGGCTGCACTGCTGTGACACCATGGGTCAGACACCTGCCCTGGGGTGAGGGGTGGGGGATACACGCTCTCAGGCTCCAGGTGGCAGGACGCTTCTTCCCAGCATCAGCCCTCCCATTGGGGTCATGGTCCCTACTCCCAGTCTAGCCTTCAAGGCCCTCTTGTCTGGCACCATCTCCCTCCACTGAGCCTTCTGCCCAGGGCCCCCCTCACTTTCCCCTCTGTTCACTGTGCTCAGCTCCAGTTTGCTTGTGGCATGGCCAGCGTCCGTTATCCTATCTCTGGCCCCACAAATTTCTGCTGTAGCTCAGCCCTGGCACCCCACTGGTGCAGCTGGACAGCGCTGCCGCAGCTCTGGCTCCCCTGGCTTTCATCATAGAATCATAGAAGATCAGGGTTGGAAGGGACCTCAGGAGGTATCTAGTCCAACCCACTGCTCAAAGCAGGACCAATTCCCAGCTAAATCATCCCAGCCAGGGCTTTTTCAAGCCTGACTAGGGTGACCAGATGTCCCGATTTTATAGGGACAGTCCTGATTTTTCTTATATAAGCATGGCTCCCCTTACAGTCATCATCTTCTCTCCAGATTAGCCTTACAGGGCCCAAATGCAGTGTTGCTAACTCTTGTGATTTTATCACAAGTCTTCTGATGTTTGGTGAATAAGAATCTGAAAACATGACCCCAAGTGAACCCTTCAGGCTCAGAAATCAAATGGCAAATAATAAGCCCTCAAAATGTACTATTATGGTGCTGTGGTAGCACCTGCTATAGATTTCTGTTCATTTTAAGAATGTATTACAGGTTTCATTTTATAGGTGTAGTTCTTTTTTGGCGCCCCTTTTGCAGTAAATCTGAAATGCTCTGGGCTGTGGCTCTACGTTGCTCCTTCTGCTGCTGATTCAGACAATGTCAGTTATACAAAGCACTGTTTGTTAATGGAGCATATTTTAGAATAAACACTTCTACTGCTGTCTAGAAAACAGAGTGTCACCCATTGGGATAGTGTGTGTGAAGTCCTTCTCTAGTTGATGGTCCACAAAGAGGCAATTACTCCAGGAGTTAAAGCAATAGGGGTTTGAACTGGGAATCTGACAGTTGAATGTTCAAATGCTCCTGCTGATCTGCATGGGAGATATTCTGATTACATGTGATTCACACAGTCAGAAGAAACCTGGGATAATCAATAAATTATGGTGTGAATCACCAAAAGAATACAGGTGTCTCACATTTCAGTCATTGGTCACGTATCTGGTCACACATTGCAGGTGTCACAGATTAGTAGGTTTGAAGGTTTATGAGTGATATTTCACACTAGTAGGCCAGACAAACACAGTAATTAGACATGCTAGGGAAGTGCAGCCACTCCTGGCTGTATCAGGTTACAAAAGTCCATGAGAGGTTACATCCTTGGGCTGGCAGGGAACTGGACTTCTGCCAGGTGTACTGATGTTTATACTCCTAGTGCTGGGTTGACATGGAAAGAGTTAACCTTGTCCTAGGAAGGGCCACAGCTGTTTGCAATGATTGCAAAGACTCTCGGGAGAGGGTGGAGACAGGTAGGAAAAAGAGAAAGAGGTAATAAGGTAGGGTTACCATACGTCCGGATTTTCACAGACATGTCCGGCTTTTTGGTCCTCAAATCCCCGTCTGGGGGGAATTGCCAAAAAGCCGAACATGTCCGGGAAAATGCCGGCATCCCTGCCCCAGTCCCATGCTCACCTGAGCGGCTCCCGGAGGCTGCGAGCTGTAGGCGGATTCCCTGCTGCAGCGGCGGCTGCTGCTGCTGCTCCCCCCAGACACCTCAGCTCTGTGCAGCTGAAGAGCGGAGCTGCCCGAGCGCTACCGGCTTCACGGTTTGCCAGGCAGCCTCCAGACCCTGTGCCCCTGGCCGGGCGCTTCCCCTCCCGGGCTCCGGCTGCGCTGAGGAAGCGCCCAGCCGGGGGCGCAGCGGGTCTGGAGGTCTGGGGGCTGCCCAGCAAAGCGTGAAGCCGGTAGCGCTCAGGCAGCTGTTTCGCATGGCTGGGAGGGAGGAGGGGGAATGCGGGGCGCTCAGGGGAGGGGGCGGAGTTGGGGCGGGGACTTTGGGGAAGGGGCGGAGTTGGGGCAGGGACTTTGGGGAAGGGGCGGGGACTTTGGGGAAAGGGTGGAGTTGGGGCGGGGCTGGGGGCAGGGCCCCGTGGAGTGTCCTCTTTTTTAAAACCTTAAATATGGTAACCCTAAATAAGGTCAGAGGAAGGAGGGGTGTAATGGGAAGAACTTGCCAGGCTCTCTAAAGGGACCAAACCCTGGGAAGGGCTATGAGAACTATTGAGCTATTGCCTAAAAGGGTGGAGGACTAAACCCTGTGTAGTGGGGCAGTAATCCCACTCCTGCCCTGAAGGGCTTAAAACAGCCCTGCAAGAGGGCTGTGGTGGTGAACTAGTAAGCCTGGGCTGATTGGGGAAGGCCTAATCAGGCCTCAGCAGGCCCTATAAAGGGGCTGCTAGGCTGGGAAACCCCCCAGGCTGCAGGCCTTGTTAAAGGCCAAGAAGGGTATTGGGGCTGCAAAGGGGCAGCCAAGGGCAGGCAGAGTCAGCAGGTCCAAACCCTCCTTGCCAATGATGAGTGGCAATTATGCTGCAGTCTGCCCCAGGGAATGGGGGCTAGATGGTGACTGGCAGTAGCCCAAGACTGAGGTGAGGTGGGGACAGGAGGTTGGGGGTTCCCTGGGGAGGGGAGACCCAGTGAGACTGTGGGGTACTGCATGGGGCAGAACCCCGAGGTAAGGGGCACCGGGAGGGACACTGGGGCCAGCGGCAAGCAGGACGCCAGCCTGCAGAGGGTGCTCCTGAGTGGAAAGAGCTAATTCCCTGGATGAACAGCAGGAGGCGCCGCACCGGTGAGTCGTCGCACAGCCACAAAGGGGAGAACAGGTGGGCCCAGAGAAGTCCAGGAAGACCATTGAGGCTGTGAGAGCAGATGACAGGCTTTATGTTAATGGGTTATTTTGGACATTTTACTCTGGAAGACTTGGAGGCTAAACCTTTTCCAGTCTCCCACCATGGTGGAAGAAAATTGCCACCCATAGAGGAAACTGAGGCACAAGTGCCTCACCCAGATTTCTTCAGGTCTCCAGGGCTAGAGCACCCACAGATTAAAAAAAGGTGAGTGCTGAGCACCCACCGGCAGCTTTCCCCCCCGCAGCAGCATCTTCCGCCTGCCCCGATCAGCTATTCCGCAGAGTGCAGGAGGTGGTGGTGGGGAGGAGTGAGGGCCAGGGGTGCTTGAGGGAGGAAAGAGACGGGGTGGAGAAGCATTGGGGGGAAGGGATGGAGTGGTGGTGGGGCCTAGGCTGGGGACGGGGGAGTACTGCCTGTCATATTAGAAACTCTGCGCGTATGAAAATAGCTATCCCATCCTGGGTTTGAAAACCAGTCAATTTCTGTATGTTTGTAGTCTTTACAGAGAACATTCTCCCCTGTATGTTAATATTAGTGATAGGACAGGGACTCAAAAAGAGCAATGCATCTGGAAGAAAGCGACCTAGTATTATAGGAAGGGGGGTGGTAGCATGTGGCAGTAAACTGGCATAAGAGCAATTACTAATGGCATATTCTCCTGTAGAAGGTCCTCAGCTGGCTGCAGCTGGAATTTTGTGGTCAGGGCTAATCACTGACTTTGTCAGGAAGTCAAGATGATGGGAAGATAGTATTGAACAAACAAGATTAATCTGGACAATGGAAGGAAAGACTGCGAGAGTTAAACATGACCAGCCTAGAAAAAAGGCACCAAGGTAAGATTCTATTATGCTGTGTGTGTAAGTATCTATGGAAGGAGCTGCTCAGCCAACTATGGTCACAATCTGAAACTAAAGAAGGCAAGGCTTATGGTAAATGGTTTTTTAGTCAAATGATATAGAAAGGCTGGTGGTATGTGAGCAATTAAGACGAGAACAGAATCTTCTCTACACTAGGAAAATGACCTGCTGCTGAAAATGGTTGTTAGCAAAGGAAAGTCTCAATCACATGTTCTGTAATGGCGCTGAAAATAGTTTTATTCTATCTGCACTAGCAGTTAAACCATCTTCAGCAATGGGTCAATTTCCATAGGAGACATTACCATATGTGTCTGGTTCTGCTCGTTAAGAGAGCGGATCCCTCTTGCAGCAAGACAGAGTATAGACTATATGATCCTTCCCTTCACAAAATGATCTTGTTTCTCTGTCACCCTTGGTTCAGGATGCTTTTTCTAATGATGCATACAAGGATGTGAGCTCATCAGTCTATCCGTCTATTCAACACAGCCTTGTTACATTCCATTTCGATGTTTTTCCATTTCTGTTGTAAATGTAAATCCTGTCCTCCTGCAGAATATCTACAAATGACTGTATGCCATATGCTAGCCATTCCTTCCAGAGCAGAGACAACTTCTGAATCTTAAACAAAGGGCTCAGCTACAAGATCATTGAGGAAATTAATAATAGAATGAATTATAAAAAGGCTGCTATTTGATTTACTTCTGTCTGTATTTAGAGCTTGGGTATAAGTCTAATTTGAATCCAAATTAAAGACCATGTTATCAATTCTAACACCCAGTACTGGTTCATACCCCTTAGCAACTCAACAGTATAGTATAGCCACAAATAGAAGATCTATATACTCCATCTATAAAGATTTCTTAACTATTCTACCTTATCACTCTGCCACCTGTATAGTGACCATAAAAAACTGGCTGATTATGATCTATCAATGCTGAGTGATGGTTTCTTCACCAATTCTGCATCAATGCTTCTGGTATCCAAAGCTTCCCTTTTTGAGTTAGACTGTGGAAAAGATTTGGTGGAGAAGATTCTGGTGAGACAACTCACATTATATAGATTCCTCAGATTCTCCTTGACCTCACCAACTTGTGAGCAGCCCTGGGTTTGGCATGGGGATCGTAGTAGTCTTTTTTGATGTTTTCCTCTTAAGGGTGGTGATCAGCTGTCTACACATGGCTCTGAACAGGAAAGGTGAGGAAACCTTAAAGCACACCCTGCAAATGGAGTTTGAGAAAGCAGTAAACTTGAAGCAACATAGAGGAATTGGCCTTAGATTCCAGCCTATTGCCAACAAAAAAGTTTACATCGATAAATATGTTTCTAAATCTATTAAATTTGAGGACTAAATTTTGTTGCAGCAACGTGAGGGGGATGAAAAACCATTCAGACTTGCTTTCCGCATTTTTTTCTTGGGATGAAACCAAGTTCAACACCCAGTTTGCCACTTAAGAACACCAAGTGATGATGTGACTAGAAATCTCAGTTCTAACCACAGCTGAATGACAAATCCCAATGTATCTTGAAGGTCTGCCAGTATGTTCTTTAGCAATGGGGAGAAAATCTCCTTCAGCAAAGGTTTGAGACCTGCAGCTGTAGCCTGTGGCCGTTTAAATCTTGTAAATATTTATTTAGACTCTTAGAATGCAGAATGTATAAACCCTTTT